CTCTCTCTCTCTCTCTCTCTCTCTCTCTCTCTCTCTCTCTCTCTCTCTCTCTCTCTCTCTCTTTTCGTTCTTTTCTCCTCTCACGGGGAACATCGACTGGCATAACTTTGCGATTCGACTCTCAGGCGCCGCCGATGATAATCTGTATGTACGATCTCGCTTCCCTTTGAATTTAATCCGTCGCCACGAAGTCAATCGTGTCATTCGACCGCGAAATGGACCTTGCAAAATGTATGAGATGTCCATAAATATTTTATTTATGTATGTGTGTTTATGGGCATCACATTCTCTCCGAGAATTTTATCGCGACATTTTGTTACATGTACAACATTGTACGTTATTTTTAAAGCAAATATATCGGTGAGTGGAGAGAGATATAAAGCATATCATTATTTTTCTGCACGATAGACCGTGTTAAGAGATCCTCAATGGCTCTTGGTTCTTGGTTGAGGTGCGAATAATGGTGATACCATTCGCGATTCGTTCTCGTACAATCGACTAATTTCCGACTCAATTGCTCCTGAATGAGTCGTATTCATCCGGTGCGCGACGCGCGCGTTTGAAAAAGCACCGCAGGTACTTCATCGCGGATAAAGATTAAGCGCGGGAGCTCTCATTACGTTGGTAAGGCCGTCGGTCTAATTACACACTCGCGCCGTATGACGTATATTAACTTAGGCGATTCTTCCGCTTCGGCGCTTAATTCTTTACGCTCGTCTCGCCAACTCCGTTTGTTCCGAATGCGTGTTGCTGGGCTTTTTCCGAGCTGCCGAATCCACAATGAACGCACTCGCCTCTCATGAGCACGTTTCACATGTAAACGCACGATGGGCGCGGAGAATGCCGCGCGCGCGCTCACAGCGCGGAATTTTTATAATAATTCTCAAGGCAACACAGGTCTCTTTGTACAGCCGGCCCGAAACGTGAGCCTTCAAACGTCTCGCTCCAACATCCATCTCTCGAACCCGTTGCCAAGTCGCTCTTTAAAGCGTACTTTAAAGGGGATCGTTCTGGATATCGGGCTAACAGTCGGCGAAATCCTTGGGGATGAAACAGAGGGGTGGATAATCGCGGAGAAAGTTTCTCGTATGTCGGCCAGAGTGTCCCCCGAAAGAAATCGCGACTGTCGTCTTATAAATCTAGTTTCTCTCTCTTTCTCTT